TGCCTTTGCACAGGCCGTTTCCACTGCCTACAGCGCTCTCCCTCTGCTCCTGCCTCCCCCAGCTACCATGTCTTACTCCGCCTTCCAGGCGGCTCTGTGTTACATCCTCCCACTTTCTGCCTTCCTGCCATCATTAGTCTTACCATTTAGCCTCGGAGTTGTCTGTCTACTTCCCTGCATGTCTGCTTCCTCCGACCTCCAAGATGGTGAGCAACATGAAAATAGGAATTGACTTTTATTTCCAAGTTCCCCGGTGCTTGGCTTAGTGGCAGGTGTGTAGCAGACACTCCTTGGATTTTCATATCATATTCAGTTTTCAAGCCCTCAACTCGTACCAGCAAGCTCAGAAGGGTGAAGTCAAGAGGCGACTGAGAGTGCAGCCCCCTGCATTCAAATCCCAGCTCTACCACTTGTTATTACCTAAATACTCGATTATTAGTTATGTGACTGGGTGTCTTTGGACAAATTACTTACCACTTCTGGGCTTCATCCTCCCCATTTGTAGAATGATGATCATAATGGTGTCTGTCTCACGGTGTTGTCTTGAGAATTCAATGAGTGAGTATACACAGTGCTTTGAGAAGCACCTGACGCTAATGCCTGTGTCATTCTTCCCATTGGCCAGGCCCTGTGCTGGGCACCAGCAATGCCAGGATGAACAGACTCAGTGGCTGCCCTTGAGAGTCCCAGTCTGAGGGTGTGTAGCTGCAAGGAGCACTGTGTGCCCAGGGGAGGGATTGGGCTCTGTCCTCAGCCCTTGACGGTCCCTGCAACCCCTCCGTCAACAGTGATCGTGGACCCCGAATCCAGACAGCCTGTGTTGTGAGCCGGGCTCAGTTCTGTAGCCATGAGCACGGTATGGCTAACTCTAAGCCCCAGCCTCTCCCCCTGTCAAATGGACACAAATGCTATATGAGTTTATGGCATCTGGAAAGATCATCCACAGAACTCCAGCATTTATCGCGATGGGGCTCCTGCTTGGGGCTGCTGCAGGGTGTGGACTGTGCTGGGGCTGAGCCACTTGCTCCTGGTGTGCTGGGCTGTGTGGAACCCAGGAAGGACCTAGCAAAGGACCGTGAAGGCCACCAGGACCGGGGTGGGACGCGTTGGGACTGGGAAAGGCACGTCTGAGGGGCAGGGAGTCCATATGCCCCTCTGCCCCCCACCCCTGCCGCTGCTCTGTCCTCCCTGTGGGGGAGCCTCCACTCAGGCGGAAGGGGCGGGACCTGCTGCTCAGCTCCCAACTCCAGAGCCCTGCGGGAAGCAGCCCCCACCCAGCCCCTGTTCCCCTAGGGGCTAGGACCCCAGAGGGCAGACCTGAGGAGGCCTTGGGAAGAGAGAGCGGCCACAGCCAGACTTGGGTCTGCATCCTGCAGAGGCCGCTTGTTGTGCTCGCCACAGGCAGGTCACCTGGGCTCGGGATGGCTGAAGACCAGAAGGGGCAGTGTCCCAGGAAGTGCTCTGCTTGCCTCGCCTGCCTCAGCCAGGGGAGGAGCCTCCTTCCTTCCAAGGGGACATCCGCCTCAGGACCTCTGCGGGTCTCTGGGTCTCTGTTGCCCTCAAGCCGTCAACGTCTGTGCAGGATCCACTTGCTTCTCACCGTAGATGCCCTGATCTAAGACGCCGTCATCCTTTGCTTGGATCAGTGCAGTAGTCTCCTCTTCCTCCTCTCAGACCTTTGCACCCGGAGTGAGCTTTTAAACATATGCAGCAGACCACGATGCATTCTTGACGGCTTCACGTGGTCAGAGTGAAACCTAAAGTCCTTCAGAGCCTCTGCGTGACCTGCCCCATCCCTGCCCCATCCCTGCCTCCCTCCCCGCTCCCCTCTCTGCCTCCGACGTTGACTGCTTCCTGCTCTCTTACTAGCTGAGTCCGTTCCCACACAGGCTCCTTGCTGTCCCCCACAAATGTCAAGCATCCTTATCGCCCAGGGCTGCTGAGCTTTCTGTCCCCTCTGCCCGCTCTTCCAGGAGGTTCGCATTCCTTGGCCCATCGCGTCACCCTGAGCTCTGCCCATGTGTCTATCACCTGGTTACTGTCCCCTTCCCCTGCCCTCTATGTACTCACCGTATCTGCTGATGGCCAGGTCTCTCGCAGCAGGTGTAGTAGCAGCACAGTGCCCTGAGTGTCTCTGTCCATAGCAGCACCAAGTGTGGGAGGAACCACATCTGGCTTCCCCTCTGCATTTGCAGCCCTAGCGTTTGGCATGTGGTACCCAGGGAACACTTGTTGGCCACACGGCTGATTGCACTGAGTGTGAACACCAGGGCTCACGGAGATGGGCTGCCAGGGGTGGCAGAGCCAGTGAAGAGAGGAAGCCCCAGAGTCAGGGCTTGTTTGCACTGGCCTTGCACATAGTGTTGAGGCTTTGTTTGTGTAAAATCTGGGAATGACCACAGTACTCTTTCCAGATGTTTCATAGCCAGGCTCAAGGGGCCTGCCCTCTGATACAGTCCCTACTGGCTGTGAGGGAAGGAGGTGCACGCTCGGGGTTCATGGTCCTTTCTCTGGACTGTGGTGTGAGGCTCAGGTGCTAGCCGCACCTCGGAAAGCTGGGATCTGTTCAGGAGGCTACTGGCAGAGGGGAGCAGAGGGGAGCAGAGGGTCTGTCCCTCCACTGAAACACATGGGCCCCGGTTTGAGCATGGCTCCTGGCTTTGTCAGGCAAGGCTTTGTGCTGCTCCTGGGCCTCCATTTGTCCATCTCTGAAACATTGCAGTCAGCCCCCAGGCTGGCTTTGACTGTGATCCGCCTAACGGATGAAGAAACTGAGTTCTAGAGAGGTTCACTGACAGGCCCAAATTCACCCAGCAACGTTAATGACAAAACTGGCCCCAGGCCCCTGACACTCTTATTTTCATCCCCCTGCGCCCCAGGTTCAAGTCCTGCCTCGGACTCAGGTCTTCTGTCACGTCTAGATGCATTTCCTCATTGGTTTCTGAGCCCCTCCCCTCTCCCGGCTGGAGCCACATCTGGTTCCTCCTTCTCCTGGTTCTTCCAGATTAGGCAGCAGGTGCTGGGTGAAAGGCCTGGCAAATAGGACATGTCATGTTGCCCAAGGCCGCAAAGGGAGGTTGCAGCAGAGCCAGGGTCCCCACTGGTTCCCCCAGAGCTCCCAGATGCCAGGACTGGGTCACTCATCCATTCATGTACTCATTCAAGAAATATTTGCCGAGCAGCTACCATGCGCCAGCTCTCCGCGTGGTGCTGGGAATGCAGAGGAGACCCCTGCCTCGGAGCTTACATTGCAGTGGGAAGCAGCGAGGGTCAAATCCACACAGAAGACATCTGAGATGGCGATGCAACCCAGAAGCAGAGGGCGGCTGGGGTGCAGCTGATTCAGTGGGGTCGCGAGGGAAGGCCTCTTGGAGGAGGAGGAGCCGAGACCTGCAGGACAGGAAGGAGGATTGCAGCAGGCAGAGGAAGAGCAAGGATGGAGTGGGGGTGGGTGGGGGGTGTGGGGCTGGGGTGACTGAGGCTGAGCTCGAGGGGAGAGCCGGGCTGGGTGAGCTGAGAGGTGGGTGGGGGCTGGACAGTGGCCCCGGCAGGAGCCTGTCTTACTGGAAGTCACCGGGGCACTGAGCAGAGGGCGAGAAGACATGATTGGCATTTCTAAGGGACAGCTCTGACTCTGGAACTTCTCACTGTGGTGCTGGCAGAGGAGCCCCTGGGGGCCTGTGGTCCCTTGCCCAGGGGGAGGAAGCTTGAGCTCCAGGCAGACAGAGGTTATGGGAAGTTGGCAGCCTCCAGGGCGGATCTCCAGGGACTTGTGCCTGTGGTTCTGGTCCGGAGGAGCCCCTGCGCACCCCACGCCTGTCCTCAGCCCTCCCACCCCCCAGCCATCCTCCCAGCATCCCAGGGCTGTCCCAGCAAACCTCGCCTGCAAGATGTCTAGGCTCCCTCTCCTTGATTATATTCATGCCAAAATGTATTAAAGAAGCGTGGTAGAAATGCCATTCTAATTGTTTCGTACACACGCCACTGGGAGGGAACTGATTGGACACAGCTCACAGGCAGTATGTTAATACGCTATTTTCATATGATGATAGCTTTGCATAATCTTCCCTTCTCCCAGCTTTGCAGGGACCTGTTGTCAACCAGGCCCCAGGAGAGAGGGGGAAGGCAATTTGACTTCAAGTCCACTCCCCGCCACATTAATTAGTCATGTGGCTGGGGAAAGGTGTGCTCGCTCAGTACAAAGTAGACTTTATAATTTATACACCAGCTGTTTCCGTCCATTCTCCTCCCTGCCTGCCTCTAATGAAATCGTGTTACCAGAGAACTGAC